ATTGGGATGGCCCAGTGGAGAGTGCTATATATATATATATGTGGAGATCGATATATTTCCTTGATCCATGTTTGATACATAGACCAATGCAAAACAGGTAAGGACAGGATGGCTCAGCATCTTAGTGTAAGGCCTTCAGATCCTCAAGGATCTTGTCTTGCATCTTTTACTGAGCTAACCCGGTCAAAGCTTCACTAAGAGAGTCTAAGCTGGCATAATGACATTGGGAGTAGCCGTCATGCTAACATGTCCTACTCAACCTTCTCGGTTGGCAAATAACATACTTCTGCTTTGCACCTTACACTGGCTTCAAACCTTGGATGAAAGCTGCAGTGATAGGCTTTTAGCATAACTTATGACCAATAATTATATCCAGGAATATGCCTAGCATCAATGGTCAAAACTGCGGATATACACAATGTAATGGGGCTTTAGCTTTTCACATCGTTTGTTCCACAATGGAAGGGCACAGGCGGGAGTAATACTGTGTATTCTTGACTCCAGACTACTGATGACTGGTATGGCGGGTTTGGTATGCTGGTTTTGTTTGTGGGCTTGTTCACAAGACAAGAACCATGTATATCATGATCTATTTTCAAGGCTGGTTCATCTAAGTCTCTACTCCAAATTCTAAATGCTTATTATGATGGTCTAGTCAACAAATCATGCCCAAAACTATGCCAAACTCCAAACATGGTCTTAGTAGGCAGATGTGGTATAAACTCAGAATAATCTTACTAGTGCAAGAGTGATATCAAACCTTGAACGTAAAGAACTTGTGTTCTTAAGGTCTCTCCTTCACACCCTCTCTAACTTCCTTTTGGAAGGTACCAGTTAAGCTGTGAAAATCAGATGTTTGTATGTACACATCAAATGTCGCAGTTAACTCCGTTCAGCCAAGCACAATATTTCCCAGAGGCAGGTGGTCGATTCTGATTGAGGTCTTTCATGCATGCTGCGGATTTGTTGGGCATGGTCACATGCTCAAGGCCCAGATTTCTTGATGGCATATGACCATTTGTTGGGGCGGGCGGGCGAGGGGAGGGAAGAGCAGCGATAAATCTTCTCTCGCTTGCGCAAGACGTATGCGGTCACGCGTACGGACTACTCTCTATTTTCGTATATGTATGAATGCGAATCCAGCGGCCCTGAAAACCAGGGTGCGTACGTTTTAATGGGGCTGCGTGGCCGCATGTCAAAGGCGGTCGTCGTGGGCGGCCCCGATACGGTAGCCGGGTAGCGTAAACGAGAGCTGGCGGGCTCGAAGAAACAAATAACCTCTCTATCAGAGCCAGGAAGACAATATCCCGTGGTTCGTGGTCTCTGAGTATAAGAAAGGGAAGAAAATCTCTTATACTGTACAGCGCTCCCTTGGTTTCTCTGGTTCCTTCTCTTTCGATTTGTTTTGCTCGGTCATGCCTCGCTCCAATCCTGTTCGATCGTCCAGGGCAGCACGGCCACCGCAACCCAGTTGCCGCCGCCCGCCGGTCCGTATGCATCGTGCCGAGTCCTCGTCGAATGAACTACTGGCAGTGGAGGTACTTGCGAGGGGATTCCAGCTTGCTCCAGGAGATTTCACGGCCCCGGATCAAGATCCCAACATCAAGGACACGCGGCGCGGGCGTTCGGCGCGCAAGGGTAGATCTCCATCGTCGTCACCCCTCTCTCCACCTGATCTGGCAGCTATCGATGATCATGATCTAGCAGCTCCTTCTCTTGATGATGGTGCTGATCTTGCAGCCACATTGACAATGTCCCCGGTGGCTTCAGCAGCGTCCCGGGCGCCAAGAACAAAGCGACGTCGTCTAGCGATGGATTCGCAAAGCTCTGGATTTTCGGATATCCCTTCATCATCGGCTACTGTATTCAAAAATCAAGATGAGAGCTCGAGTGCTTCAAGCGATGGTGTGCCGGGTGTTGACGATCATCCAATGACCGAGGAGAAGCCCACCTCCATTGCCACACGGGCCGCAGCTTTGAAGACCAAGCGACCTCCAAGTGGCTGCTCGAGCTCTAAGGTCAAACGGTCCAATTGTGTGAAGAAGAAGAAGACCACGGTTTCCAAGCAAGAAGAAACGAGCAGGAAGAGGAAGCCACCAACGTGCGCGAGGAGATATGCTAAAAAGACGTCCCGCTACGTTGGAGTCTCGTACTACAAGCGAATCAAACGGTGGGAGACGCACATTTGGTGAGTATGTTATTCTTTTCCTTCTTTTCTTCAAAAGGAAGCAACCACGCTGATTTTTCTTGAAGGGGTACAAGGAAAAGCAAGCAGATATACGTCGGTTCATGCAGTAACGAGGAAGCTGGAGCCAGGTTTTCATCTTCTTTTTTCTTTTCTTTGTGGCGCTTATGAAGTTTAAGATGTTAATCACAGGATCTATGACCGAGCTTACATCAAGTTCCGTGGCAAAAGCTGCCCAAACTTTCCCTACTCGGACTACGTGCACGAGATACCCCAGGCATGATCATATTAACATTTCTACCGAAAGTTTGGAAAGATCTAACGCTTAAATTTTCTCTGCAGTGGATCAATCTGCCTGACAAGGACTTCATCAACATGCTACGTAACATGAGTCGTGGCGAGTCGTTGGTCTGGTTTGCACCGGAGCTGCTTGAAAGTGGCGCTGGCTCTCCATTCACGAGGGAGGCTCGGCCTCGGGCATCAAAATATCGCGGAGTCTATCTTCTCAAAGGTCGAAAGGTCCCTTGGACGGCTTCCATAACGTAAGTAGCCTCATCCCTCTAAACCTCTTTCTTTTCTTTGAGACACCATCTAGCTATCTGGATGTGAAACACAACGATGCTTTGTGTGAAACATGACCAACACCCAAGCTTTCGGCCATCACCATTCTAACATTATGGTTTTCATCTTTGATGCAGGCTGGACTCTCGTGCAATTCGACTGGGTGAGTTTTCCAAGAGCTGATTTCTTTTTTTATTGTTTGTGTTTTTTTTCTTTTGCATATCCAGGGTCATATGAGACACAAGAGGAGGCAGCAAGGTTCGAGAAAAACTAAAACCTCAATCGCTAATTACTAAATATAACACATTGTTTCGACAGGAACTATGACCGAGCAGCTATTAGATTCTTTGGCAAGGCTAAAGCACTCAACTTCGCATATGAAGACTACACTCATGAGATGCCACAGGTAATTTTGTTTTCATGTCCTGATTGTAAAACTAAGACGATATTACAGTGGGTCACTTTGAGCAAGGAAGAGTTCATTTACTACATACGGAATTCTGCACAGTCGAGCAAGAAAAGGAAGTTCAAAGTACATACAGCTCAAAGAGCTGTATACGATAGGAAGGCCAAACAAAAGGGGATTGATGTTTGTGAGGTAAACGAAGCACTCCCACACTATTTAGATGAGAAGGGGATAGGTGTGGTAAACGAAGACACAATATAGATCTTGGGCTTGAGGAAGCACCAACCATATCAGAATCGCATTCAAAGGGAGGCAAAGAGAAAGAGCATCGTTTCCTGGAGAGATTTTATATCCGCGTGGACTTCAATGCTTTGCCCGGGTTGGGCATCTGGACAGCATATGCATATTAAAACGTTTAGAAGCGAGATACAAGCTCTTGGGCATCGAGATGCTTGCTCGAAGCGGGTGCCACAGGCTCCCTCCTGACGAACCGAGCGACTAGATCATGAGGCTCGAATCACTCCCGCACCGTATTCCCTGCTTGCAAACATGCTTTTGATGACATACACAAATCCCAAACCGCGATCTTGTGTTCGTCCATCAACTTCTCGGCCTCATCACTCATTCCCGCGGCCGAGTAGATGCTGGACAGCAAAGCTAATGCCGGAGGATTGCTGGGACTGAGGTCTAGGATGGGCAGCTCGTGGGGATTGTTGTGATTCGAGCACACACTGAGCAACGACACCGAGTTCGGCTGGAACGGCATACTTAGCAAATTCTCGGCCTCTTCGAGCCTCCCAGCTCGGCTGAGCGTATCCGAGATCACCACACAGTGCTCGAAAGTTGGCCGCTCGCCAAAGGGGAGCGCCATAACATCGGTGGGGATGCCGTCCAGCAGCATGGAACTGAAGGGAGAGGTAGAGTGCTTACTTATGCCCGTGCTGGGCATACGAGGAGATCATGGCAGTCCAGATGATGGCTGTCTCGCTCCCGCATTTGTGTAAACACCAACGTGGTGGAGAACTTGCCAGGCAAAACAATCCACGCACACAGGCTTCGATGGCTCCCTGCTGCTCGACTCGGCACTCATCAACATGTATGGCTCCGTAGAGCTTTCGCGGTGCTCGGACACGAGCTCCACGGGCCTGTATCCCTCGAGCAGCATCGCCAAGTCGATCTAGCACCTTCTTGTGACCCGGCATCATCGTATTCCACGACACCCATCTCTCAACGAGCTTGAGTCGAGAACCTTCCAGGCTGCCGCATTTTCCATACATAGCGTTGGTCACCACAGTCTCCGCGTCCACGGGCCGGTGGCGAGATCGCACAGCGAAGAAGACGCCTCGACGGAGGCTCGCTCATCATCCTGAAAAAGAACCGTAGGGCCGCATCGCACTCGCCATTCTCGACGCAGGCGTTGATGAGCGACCGCCATCTCCAGGACGTCGCGATCTGGATTCCGCATATTCCAGATGTTTATGATTTATGATTTCTTGGGATATTCGGATTCTGCACATGACCATGTTCAGTTTCTGATCGGATTGAACACCGGCCTCGCTCCATCGACTCGCCGTAGACTTCGATGAGGGAGATTTGGAATTCTTCACGGTCAAGAAAGGTTTGCAAAGTCTGAAGTACTTGCGAATTTTCCAACAGACAAGAGAAGGGAGCAAAGCTATGGTCTTTTTTTCCATTTCTCTTGTACACTCTATTTTCTCCTTTCAAAGAGTTGTTTATAATAGGAAGGTGGTAAACAAAGGAACGGCAGACTTTATAACACATGTATATACATTTAGTGACGCTGCTCAAAGATCGGTGCGTGCTCAAAGAATACAAGATCGAAGCCATCTATGTGATCGAGAGCGCGTTTGCGAGCAGGGAATACGGTGAAGACTCCCCGGGGTGTGATTCGATCGCAAGGGAGGAAACGCGAGCTTCGTGGTCTTCACGCTGGCTTCGAAACGAGTTCATGAGAGAGGCCCAGACTTCCACACCCGGAACGAAAGGCATGTTGGTGACAAGATCTCGAGCCCCTCCAATGTAGCCCGAGCGTCCCAGGAGATCGATCATGCATCCATACTGCTGGTTCGTGGGGATAAATCCGTAATCCAGAATTATGGAGCAGAAGTAGTAGCAGCCAGCCTCTACATTCCCGGCATGGCTGCAAGCAATCAGCACAGAAACAAAGCTCGGTTCGGCAGGAGTAAGTCCCTCCTGCTGCATTGTCTCGTATAGGTTTTGGGCTCTTTCATGATAGCCGTTACGAGCATGCATCGAAAGAACTGATGCCCAAGAGCTTGCATCTCGCTGTGGCATCGTCACAAAAGTTTTCATGGCTGAAAACACATGCCCATTTTGGGCATATGCTGCAAGCATGGTGTTCCAAGAAACGTGTGTACGAGAAAACCCACAATAGAATAGTTCTTCGGCCTCTCTAACACGCCCGTTATTTGAGTACGCTTCCAGCATTGCATTGAACGTAGCGGAATCTCGGTTCTCACGCAAAAGATCAAAGACAATCTTAGACTCCTGCAGATGCCCAATGGTGGCATATGCTGAAAGCATTGAAGTCCACGCCATAGAATCTCTCCTAGGCATAGAATCGAAAAGCTCTCGAGCTTTGCACAAATTTTCGTGGCGTATATATACATCAAGTATCGCCCCCCAGGAAACTATGTCTCTCTCTGGCATGGAATCGAATAGCTCCTTTGCCTCCCCCGCCAAATCACGTTCCAGTGACGAAGATGAAGCATAGGCAGACACCATCGCATTCCAGGAAACAAGATTCCAGGCAGCCATCTCAAAATAAAAAAGATCTCTCGCAAATTCGATGTGGCCGGCAAGAGCAGCCCATGAGAGCATTGCAGTCCACGACACAAGATCATATGCCGGCATCAAGCGATAGAGCTCCATGGCTGATTTGAGATCGCCGCCACTCGCAAATGCGTTGATCATCGAGGTCCATGACACCATATCCTTGGCAGGCATCCAATCAAACAGCGCCTTTGCTTCGTTGATCCACCGGCGATCTACACTTAGCTGTGAAGAAGCAGATCTCGAGTTTCCGTAAGCCGAGAGCATGGAGTTCCATGAGACGAGGTTGTGACCCGGCATTCGATTGAAGATCTCGCGAGCTTGGTCAACATGCCCCGACCGGGCATACGCCGCAAGCATCGTCGTCCAGGAGATCACATTTTTTTTCGGGAAGCGATCAAAGAAATAAGAGGCAAAAGCAAGGTTTCCTACTTGTATGGCTGCCGCCAGTATCGTGTTCCACTGCGCCAGATCCCAGTCAGGCATTGCATCAAACACGGCAATGGCCAGATCAAAATGCCCGTTGCGGGCATACGCCCCCAGTAGCAGGTTCCACGAGAAGGCGTCCTTGAGCACGATCGAATCGAAGGCGGCACGGGCGCCCTCCACGCTGCCGTGCTTCCCATACATGTGGACGAAGAGATTCACAACAAAGGTCTCGTCCTTTGCAGGAATTCTCTTTTGTAGCTGCTGCTCAAGGAAACTTTGGTGAATCTTCTCCACTTCGCAGAGAGCCTGGCACGATCGAATGAGCTCACTCCATTGCATAATTCCAAGCGGCTATTCTACATGCAATGAAGTTTTGTGTTATAAACACCATGCTCGCCAAAAGGTGAAGGAACGGATTAACAACTTTAATTTTGTTTGGCTCAAGGAAGTTTAAACCCACCAAGTCTAGTGTGCAAGAAGGAAGCACTGAATAACTAGCTGCTCGTTAAGATGAGTATTTCAGTCACAGCATTTAAATTTCTTCTACACAATGCTTGGGAGGATTGTTGGAAGTACCACTTCTTCTACATTTTCAGCTGATATAGACCTAGTTTGACTGAAATTTAACTGCTCCATTAGCGTGCCATGAATATTCTCTTTTTAAAAAATTTTAATGATATTTTCAAGTATGTTTCACAAATTAGCAAAGCTAGTCAGACACCGTCCCTCCCATGCTTGACGTTGCCAGCAAATGCAGCCCCTTAGGCACAACGAGTTATGCATTCATCCAAGTGACGTGCTTCACTTGGGGTGTCACTACAATCAACTTGGGCATCTGGTGCGAGGACCAAATCCCTCACCCCAGGATTCCCGGTTGTTTCCGATCGCCCGTCTCAAATCCCTGTGCGGAGCATCCTATGACACCCAGAGCGGCACCCTGACCGTGGCCAGGGACTTCGAGGACTAGAGCACCCTCGTCGCCAGGCATTTTGTCTATCCTCGAGTGCCGCCATGCTATAAAAATCCCACCTCCAGGCCCGTTCGACAGAGAACGTCGCCAGCAGCAGCGATCCATCAAGCAATGCCCGCGTCACAATGTGACACTGCGCTTGGTCGCGAATGAAGCTCCAAACGACGCCGTCCGAGCACCACACCACAAGATTGTAATCCCAGGGAGGGGACGAAGAACCAGTGGCGATGAGGCGGACCCTGGCATGTCACCAGAGCTCAGGTAGACGAAGAGCCTCCTCACCTGTGTGCGAGAAAGAGGTGTTTGTTGAGACACGGCGCACAGCAAGTCCTTCTCCTCCTCGAAATGTCCTGGATGCGGAGAAGAGCCAGGCGCTGTTCCTGCTCCGGAAGCCGAGAAAGGCAATGGGCTTAAGAAAGAGGCTGCTATCCCCAAGGAGAAAAACAAAATAATATAACGAGACAAGCTTATTAAAGCTAGAATCATAAGTAATCTTGATTCTGCCTTGGTGCGAAAGCAACCCATCTATCGAAAAAACAGCGGCCATCCTCTTCTGACAAGATTCCCAGTGGAGATTCTACCACAACCTGACACTGTAACTAATTATCTTTGCCACTTACTAAGTGCTCAATAGGTGTCGTTGTCTACGCATGGATCATCCTCATGCGTCCAGGATGGTAGCCATCTTCCCAGTTCTTCATTACGAACAATCCACTCCTCTTTCTCTACATCCATAGTCTATCTGTCCCACTGGTGCCCATAGTCACCAATTTGACTCCGACTCTCCCATTTCTGAGTTCATGAGTCATAGACAAAGGTAGCCTGGATCAAAAGCCTGAAACATTTTGAATTCCTTACCCATGGATTGAGCAACACCCAGTAGAATGCTGGAGCGGGTGCCAGGGAAGCCACACTGAAGGCACCTCATTGGCCAAGAACCTTTACACAACCCCACCCCCCAAAGGCCACAAGCACTCACACATGGGACACTGCTCAAAGAGTTTCACAATTGAATCACTGATCAAGTAACACTTTGATAGATGCTACACGTGCTTGCTACTAAAGTAGTGGGCACAAGAAGCCCACAGGGTGAGGCACACAAAAGAAGCCATTGAAGCACTAATGATGGGACCTTGGTAAGTGAGCCAACTTTTGTTTGCATGAGAAGCAGAGTTAGGCACTGCTTGAGAACCTCCATTTCCACCCATCATCAAGTAAAAAAGTCCCTCATGTTTTTGAGATAACACAAGTCCGAGTCTGATCTTGAGTGTGAGTAAGAGCCCAAGTCCCTTTTAGCTATTTGTCCAAGTCTGATTTTGACCTCAATTGTGAGTAAGAGCCCAAATCCGAGCACAAGCCTGAGTAAAAGCCCAAAAGTTTCTGTTCAAGCCCAACTTCAAGCTCAAGTTTGACCAGCTGAGCCAAAATTCCAACAAGGAGTGCACTTGAGGTTTGACTTTAGCTGCCAACACTTCATCCCCCATTATCCTTGAGTTTATAGCTTACCACATTTAAGTAAACAAGTGCTTTGGACTTTCACCACGTATCCACGTCAGAACTTGAACCCAAGTTCGAAATAAAGCCCAACCCTAAATCCAACATAGTGCATAAAAGGTGGAGCCTAAGAGCCCATGTATGAGCTGGAACTCCAGTAACATTTTCAAGTGCTGCAAAGTCCACATCCCACATGTGGCAGAGTCAGAATCTGCAATAGTGATTTTGATTAGCAAAGTTGCCAATATCAATTGCTTTGCTGTTGGATTGCAAACGTAGACGTTAGAAGCAAAGACTCTATATACATGTATAATTGGCATTTTTCGGGCAGTAGAATCGCATCTAGCGTGTTGAGTCCACTCAATCAGCGCAGCTAGAGGGGTGTGCAAGCGCTGGAGAAGCAAGCTCTGCGACTCATTCTTAAAACACTGGATCCTCATGGGCAGCGATGACCATCTAGCCTCAAGGTTTTTCTAAGAATATTCTTGCAAATTGGTAAACAAAGTGTGGCATGAGCGTCCTTGTTTGCTGTTGAGTAAAATTCAAATGAGTTGGTTGTTGGTGACAACCAAGAAACTTTAAAAGCTCCAGTAGCTTCATTGTCAACGACCAATACCTTCGCCTATGAAAACGCATTAATCTTTGGAAAAGAAAAGCTCGACTAGAGCTGCAACTTTTGCAACTTGTTTCTCCATCGCCACTGCTGCAATGCTTGCTGTGCTTCTCATACATTTGGACGAAGAGATTCACAACAAAGGTCTCGTCCTTTGCCGGAGTTAACTTTTCTCGCTGCTGCTGCTGCTGCTGCTCGAGCAAACTTTGAGGAATCCTCTCCACGAACCTGGCACGACCGGATGAGCTCAGTCCACAGCCTATTTCCAAGCGGATATTTCCAAAACGGATTTTGTTCCGCACGATAATTCGCTCTCTGTTGCTCGAAAGAAATTGTATCTGTGAGTGGGAATCGAATCGTGATGAGTTTTCAGTGGTTTAAAAGAGATATTTGGTCTTACCTCGGAAGTCATGGCTGGCACGAGCTTGTTTCGCGCAGCAACTACTCTCGACGCCACCTTGATGATTCTTGGAACCATTGCTGCTACCGCTAATGGCCTCGCGTTGCCGGCCATTCTCATTGTCGCAAGCCTTGTTTACGACCAATACGGGCGATCAGAATCATCACCTATGAAAACGCATCCCAAGGAATTCGTAAGTTTAATCTTTCCTTAAGACAAAGCTCGAATACTGACCAGGCTAGAGCTGGATCTTTGGCAACAGGCTCAGAGGTATCTCTCCATCGCCACTGCCGCAATGCTTGCTGCGTATCTCAGTGAGTTTCTCAGTATCGTATACTTCAAAGACGATCAATCTACCTGAGTTTTTGGCAGATGTGAGCTGCTGGAGTTGCACTGCCGACCGGCAAGTTCGAAAGCTTCGACTGATGTATATGAGCTCGCTACTTAGCCAAAGCGTTGGCGATGTTGACAACTCTACTGCGAACGTGATAGACAACGTTACCAGCAATCTGGTGTTGGTCCAGAAAGCAATCGGAGAGAAGGTAACATCTCTACGCTTTTCTCTTCTTCACGGAATTGTTGCAGATCGGGAACATTATCTACAGCGTTGCATTTTTTCTTGGAGGCTACCTGGTAGCAGTAGTGTTGATATGGAGGATTTCTCTACTTCTGCTGCCTTGCACGCCGCTGCTCATATTACCGAGTGTTCTCTATGCAAGGATTGTGCGAAAGTGCTCCCAGAAGAGATTATCTTCCCAGAAAGAAGGTGGAACAATAGTCAAGCAGGCAATCTCCAACATAAGAGTGGCGTACGCTTTTACCAGCGAGAAGAGAACACTGCAGATGTATTCCAGCTCTCTGGAGAAAGTGGCCGAGATCGAGAGAGTAGAAAGCCTGGCAAAAGGAGTGACTGTAGGCCTCAACGGTATCTCGTTGATGATCTGGGCTCTTTTGATGTGGTACGGGAGCAAGCTGGTTGCTGAAAACCATGGTACTGGAGCTCAAATTCTTGTTGTCGGGGTTGGTTTTATAATCTCCTCCGCGTAAGTTTTGACGTCTATTCTCTCCCATGACGTTCGCGTTGAGCGTGATGCAGGCAGCTTCAAACTGCAATAAGCGACAGCAAAGGACTTATTGAGGGCCAAAACGCGATGAAAGACATTCTTCAAGCCATAGAACGCTCACCTTTCAAGCAATGCCAAGGACGGGCGGGACTGGAGCTTAGAACTGTTGAAGGTCACATAGCCTTCAAAAGTGTCAGCTTCTCATATCCATCCAGGCCCACGCAGCTCGCGCTTGAAGTCCTCACGCTAGATATTCCAGCTGGTAAGCGGCTGGAATTCCCTCATCTTCAATCTGCATGAAAAACATTGCAGGTAAGGTTACCGCTCTTGTGGGAAGAAGCGGATCGGGAAAGTCTACAGTCATTGCGCTCCTAGAGCGATTTTATCATCCAACCGCAGGTGAAATCACTCTGGATGGTGTGTGCATCAGAAGTCTTGACTTAAACTGGTGGAGGTGTCGGATTGGACTGGTAAGCCAGGAGCCTACACTGTTATCCTCTTCCATCAGGCAAAACATTCTATATGGAAACGAGAGAGCCAGTATGGCAGACATTATTGCTGCTGCGAAGCTAGCCGATGCACACGACTTCATCCAAAGACTACCTAATGGATACGACACGCAGGTATGTTGTGATCGACATCCACCTCACATGCAAGGCAAGACGTCTTGCAGGTTGGTGAACTGGGAATGCAAATCTCAGGGGGTCAGAAACAGCGTATTGCAATCGCACGAGCCATCGTGAGGAAACCACGCATCATGCTGCTAGACGAAGCTACGAGCGCACTCGACAACGAGTCCGAGAGAGTTGTCCAGGAAGCTCTAGACAACGCATGCAAGGACGTCACAACAGTAACAATCTCGCACAGGCTCAAGTCAATCCAAAATGCACACTACGTCGCTGTCATGGATGGTGGGAAGGTGCTCGAGGCAGGAAGACAGCAGGAATTGCTTTCCAGAAGGGATGGGATCTACGCAGGCATAGTAAAAAACGTGAACAGGAGCGATACAGACCTTGGCGTGCTGTATAACGGGTTCGAGCATCTGACATACGGAAAAAACATTTCAGAAGGTACGGAGCAAGAAAAAAAAGCCGCACCTTCAAGCGTCAAAGGCACTCCTCCAGCACAAAAACAAGGGTGCTCGACTTTCCTGCAGATACTCAGTTTGAATAGCCCAGAGTGGAAACATGGATGCATGATAGTAGTCAGTGCGACACTGACCGGATTCATTACTCCAGCGAATGGCGTACTAAATGGAGTCACAGTTGCAGCCTTCTACAGCCAAACCTCCCAGGAGCTGAAGCACACAGTGAGATTCGCATGCGGATTATATATCTTGGCCTCTGTGGCACTTTTCATCGCAAACTTCAACCTGCATTACCGAGCTGGAGTCACTGGAGCAGCACTAACGATGAGAATACGACGTGCAATGCTAGCTAAGATATTTCAGCAGGAGGTGGGATGGTTTGAGAAGGATGGAAACTCAAGCGGACAAATCTACAACCGCCTAGGAAATGATGCGAAAATCGTGAGTGGCTGACTGACCTGCTTGCTTTGCAACTTTTCTCACTGTTGTCCTGGTTGACAGGTCGGAGAACTCTTTTGGGACCGTGGCCAGTCGCTGGTACAGGTGATCACAACAGTTGTCTTTTGCATGAGCTTCAGCTTTTGCCTGTCGTGGAAGCTAGCAGTTGTCGCCTCCGTCCCTCAACTTCTGATCGCCGGTGCTTTCTACGCCAGAAGCAGGAGCCTCATCGGACTGATGCGTCACATTGCTGCAGAGCACAAGAGAGTTAGTGATCTAGCCAATGATGCAGCCTCACAACAGAAAACAATCACGGCCTACTGCTTGCAAGACACGGTTTTAAAAGAAATCAAGGCCACCTCAGCGAGAACTCTGGCTGCATCTCAAGTTGCAGGGTTTCTCTACGGCTTCTGCTTCTTTGCACTCTACAACTTCTATGCCCTCTGCATCTGGTATGGAGGAACACTACTGGTAGCAAGAAGAATAACCTTCCAGAATTTTGTGATCTGCTACAGCGCTCTGGTGTCCGCCGGGCGAGCACTAGCAGAGACCGCAGCAGCAACTCCAGCAGTGGCTCATGGCTTGACAGCAAAAGCATCGGTCCTCGAGATACTCAACAAGAAAACAACAGTTTCCGACGTAGAAATGTCTGGAAACGAAGACAACATGCGAGGCGAGGTGGAGTTTCGCGACGTCAGCTTTACGTATCCCTCGAGCATGGAAATACTGGTGTTAAAGAACTTCAGCATTAAAGTGGACGCAGGCCAGACTGCAGCATTGGTTGGAAGGAGCGGGACGGGAAAATCGACAGTCATAGCTCTGCTGGAGAGATTCTACGAACCAATAGCAGGCACAATTCTCCTAGACGGCAAAGACATCAGGAGCATCCACGTTCACACGCTCAGGAAACAAATGGCACTGGTAAACCAGGAGCCAGCTTTGTTCGCGATGAGCATCAGAGACAACATAGCGTATGGCCTAGACAACGCGACGGACGCGGAGATCATCGAAGCAGCAAGCGTAGCAAACGCACACACATTCATCAGGTACCAAAGAACTCTCCAAGAAAACTCTCTAAAGATGGATGCATGGCAGTGCTCTCCCGGAGGGATACGAAACAAATGCCGGCGAAGGAGGCGTCCTTCTCTCCGGAGGACAAAAGCAACGCATAGCAATCGCTCGAGCCGTGATAAAAAAGCCAGCGATTCTTCTCCTGGACGAAGCAACAAGCGCTCTCGACGGTGAGTCCGAGCGCACCGTCCAGCAAGCCCTGGACAAGATCGTGCACGGCAGCACGGCAAAGACGACGATCATCGTCGTCGCTCACAGGCTCTCGACGATCCAACACGCAGATCTCATCGCAGTGATGGAGAATGGCGGGGTTTCGGAACAGGGCAAGCATCAAGAGCTCCTGGCCAAGAATGGCCGATATTTCGCTCTGATCCACTCTCAGCTCTAGCAATCGAGGAGACGATCGATCCAGACGTACCTAGACATGCTAGCGCCTTGCCGCCTTGCCGCCTTGCCGCCTTGCCGCCATAAACCCTAAGTAGCTACATTGTGATAGAGATTGATACATATCATCGTTACTCGTTAGGGAGCTATATACTTCTTCCATTCTATCGAGCGTGAGGCTTCCAGCACGAAGACATCTCTTTGACATGCGACGAGTAGGGATCCTCGGGACCATTTGGAACGTCTCGATCTGGCTTGGCGACCACCGCCGGAGGATCATTCGATGATGGAGCGGTCTGGAAGTCTCTCCCGCCGCAGCCGCTCGTCCTGTGCTTCATCCGGTACTGCTCCGGATCGTCAGGGCCGGATGGAGTCTCTCTTTCGGGATTGGAAACCATCTTCCTCGACTGGACTGGTCCTGCACCAAGAGAGAACAGCCACACCCGTTAGTATCTCGGATCATCTCGAGAAAAAATCGAATTTTTTTCTTCTTTTTTTGCTCTGGAACGAACGAACCTCCTCCAAGGCAGCGAGTCATGAGTGGAAAAAGCAGGAGGAGGATGATAGCCACAACACGGTGGCTGCTTTTGGCGGATGGAGTCATGGCTTTGGCAGTGATGATGGCCAAAGAAACAGCACAGGAGCTAGCTTAATGATTCGAAGCACAGCACAAGTTACACAGAGCAACGCATCATTCACACCTCCAAGCACAGCGTCACAGAGAAAAAAAAAAGTTAAAAAGAATCACAGAAAATGGAGGAGCAGAATCATACAACTCTACACTTAAAAACCACTCAACTCTCGTCCAACGATCGACAAAGATCTCTCTAGAACACAAGCAGACCTCAACAAAACGGCCCTTTGCCACTCCCACTCCACAAAGATCCCGCAAGAACACGCCGTATAAATACCCGAGCGACGATGAGACCTTTGCTCGAGGTACTAATCCGTGCTTGGTTTCTTCGTTTCTTCCTCTTTCGTGTCTTGTCTTGTCCATCTTTTTAACACACACTTACACACACACACACAGCGCACAAAGCCTTTTGTTTCCAATTCCAACACGGCCAGACAGACACACACAGAAAGATGGAACACAGCTTTTGCATTCATTCCTGATTTGAGAGCTCTCTCGTTTAACGCATGAGGGATGGATTTAACGGAACGAATTGGGCAATCAAAGCACAGAATCGTTGGAAGAATAGAAGGAGTCACAGACAAAATGGTGGCGGTGGTGGCGGTGGCGGCGGTGGCGGTGGCGGTGGCGAAGTTTTGGTGGTGGCGAGCAACGTAGCAGCTTTCCAGGCAGACAAAACTTACAGGAAAGAAAAGCTCGCTCCTGCAGAGGAGACAAGCCTCCACAGATTCCAAATGATTCCTGCCCGGAGCTTGCGAGCCTGCTTGGCTTGGATACAAAAAATCCCACTCGCATCCCACTATAACAAAAAAAAAACCAGTAACGATCAAAGAAGAACATTTCATGGCTTGTGGAAAGCCTACAAAAGCAAGACAACCAACTTGTTTTTTTCTAATGTTGTGTCGTGTGGCTTCTTTTGGAGAATCAATGTCTCTCGTAGATTCTACTGCGGAAACTCCTTGTTTAATCCCCGCAATGTTTTTCTGTGAGGCAATGGCATGGAATCTCTGGGGCGAGGAGATCGATGCGTGCTGTCTGTCTGCCTGTCTCTCTGTGTCGAGTTGCTTGCATTATGCTCGAGATCCATGGCGTTGCTCGCTGTGAATTCTTGCGAAGAACAAACCTTTGCTCCCGGACTTGTTGATGGGTGTTTCTATGATTTTCGTGGAAACACTAGTAAACAATGGGGAATTTGAAAGCACAATCCAAGGATTCCCTATGATTGAGCTCACGTTCCACCCGTCTTTATCACTTGGACTGTTCAACAGCCAAAGTTTCTTCCATATTCCAAAGTTCTCTTGCATCTTTCTTGTCGATTTTTGGTACTGTAGAACTACCAACAATGTCGTGACATAAGCTGGTGCTATATTGTAATTTTTCAAAAGTCATTATATACATATTTCAGAAGTTCCAAAATTGATTTTTTCTTTTCTTTTTTTTCTTTCGAATCTTCTTTTGCCTGGCATATTCCCAAAATGTAAAGGACGAGAAAAAAACGGAGAATGAAGCTCGTTTTTTTTTTCAGTTCAAATCGGGAATGAGCATGGATGGAGGCGTCGACCTGTGATGTAAAGGATCAGGGCCCCCAGGAACATATCGATCCGGGTGGTCGATTTGATGAACTTCGCGAACTTCACTGGATCGATTCACATTCACAAGTTTGCGATCATCACCCCCGTGGTGATTCTCAATTGCTACCGCTGCTGCTGCTGCTGCTGCTGCTTGGTACTCGAGCATCTTTCTTCCCACAAGCTGATTGCTCTCCGGGTGATCCCTGCGTGGTCGCGGTGGGATCCTCTGGCAAGAAGAACTCGTTAGAGTCTCCAAGAGAAGGAAGAAAACTTTCAAATGCTTTCACAAACCTGCTGGTGGCGGAATCGCGTCCGGAAATTTGGCACATTTCTTGGGAAAGAAACGCAGCCGGGACAGGGGCGTGTCACCGCCAGCAGCTTCCGAGCCGAGATCCCCCGAGAATCGAAATCTAGAAACCACCAAAAACCAATCAATCAAGCACGAGATGACCCAAAAGAGCACACCTGTAGTGACCAAGAGGTAGAAACAACACACGAAAGCCATCCAGAACAGAGCGCTGTGGATCATCGCAGCGCGCGACATGGACGATCGATCCAGAAAAACCAGAAGAGGAAAAGGAATGATCGATCAAGAAAAACAGAGAAGCTCCAGTACTTTTGAGTCAGTCTTGGCCAGTCCACTCTCCCTTCTTCTTCTTCGACTTAACAAGCATGACCAAATCTATGGAGCAATCTAACAGGCTTTATAGTAAAACACTGGAATTTGGGAACTCGTGACGAATACAAGGAAATAATTAAAATAAATACCCCAACTAATTCACTTTAAAAGCCTTTTTTTTTCCTTTAAACTGAATGTAAGATTAGGAAGGAACTGATTACCGACCGATATAGTTGGTCTAGATTAGTTCGAGTCCTATCAACCACACGCTCCAATCCATCATTCCAAGGGTTTTTAGTATTTCCAATTGCAGGGTGGCGGCAACTTAAGAGCCCTAAATCGGTGCATGCATGGTGGCGGTGACGAGACATTCCCTCATTTGGGGTGTGCGTGCCACCAGAGTTGATTTCCAAATGTGGCAACCCCCGGGTGCATCATTTGTACACTCCATGGTACATGGAGTATTTTTACTATGTCCAAGGTTCACACATTCCAGGCTTTAATAGCTTGGGTGCTAATATGATGGCCGCGAATATGTGTCCGGCCGTAAAGGAATAATTTCCATATCCGAAAATATCAATCCTATTACGCCTCATCATTTCCGTCCCTGGAATAATCACCCTTGATCACGGGAAGAAGAATCGGAGAATTTCTCGTTAGTCTTGCTCTGATACAAAGCTGCCAAGGCATAAAAGAATCCAATCAATCAGTTCTCTCAGAGAAAAGCTCTCGAGTCTCTCTCGCGCGCACAAATACGTACCTGTCGATTCTTTGGAACGGTGAAAACTTATCTGATTGTTGTTCTTTATTGAGTAGCGTTCTTGAACAAAAGTACTTCACTCTATTGTCCGGTGAGTTGCCCTTTGACGTAAGCATGATCAACTCTAAAGCACGAATCTTTCCATAAAGAAGGGATATAAATCATCACAGATGTGAGTGAGAGAGAGAGAGAGAGAGAGATATTCCAAATGTTTAAGCTTTCTGTGTGCTCAACAGCTAAGGATGGATTAGTATCAATACTTACAGTTTCTGGAACACGATACTGGTTAGGAAACCTTGTTTGGCGTCTACTCTCTTTGATCGCTTCCCGGAAAGGAATGTGATCTCCTGGACGACGATGCTCGCAGCGTATGCCATATTGACAAAACTCGCGAGATCTTCAATTCAATGCCGGGTCAGTCATGGAACTCCATGATATCGGCTTACGGAAAGCCAAGTCTAGATCGTAGGCGCTTTTGGGTTGGATGCACGGAACGCGATCTCAGATCGGCCATGGAGCTCTATCACTTGATGCCGGCATATGATCTTGTGTCGTGGACTGCAATGCTCTCATGGCGTGCTCTTGCCGGGGAATGCGATGCTGTCTGCCTAATCTTCGCCACTTGAACGGGTCGATTCCATGCCAGAAGCATTGTTTCCTGGGGGGCGATGATTGAAAGCCATGAATTTTTTTAAAGATTCTATGCGAGATTCTATGGCGTGGCCTCCAATGCTTACAGCATATGCCCGGTTTGGGCATCTTCAAGTGGCAAAGATCATTTTTGATGTTTTGCATGAGAAGGGACGCAATGCAATGCTGGAAGCGTACTCAAATAACGAACGTGTTGGCGAGGCCGAGGAATTATTTTTTGTGGGTTTGCTCGTACACACCTTTCTTGGTTGCAGCATATGCCCTATATGGGTACGATGCCGCAGCGAGATGTTCGATGCTTGCTCGTAACGGCTACCATAAACTCTAGGAGATAATGCAGCAGCCTGTTGAGTCGAGCTTTGCTTCCGTGCTGAATGCTTGCAGCCACGCCAGGAATGTAGAGGGTGGCATGACTCTGGATTACGGATTTATCCCCACGAACCAGCAGTATGGGCCTACGTTGGAGGTACCAAGAATGCTTTCGTTCCGGGTGGAAGTGATCCGGCGAAGCTCGTGTTTCTTCCTTTGCGATCGCCCCGGGGAGTTCACCATATTCCCTGCTTGCAAACGCGTTCTCGATCACATAGACGAATCCCTCGATTTTGTGTTCTTTGAGCACGCACTGAAGCGTCCTCCACGACACGACGTGTATATATAAGTGTGTATTTATATGGTTGTAACATCTATATAGTCTGCCTTTCCTTTGTTTACAGCATCAATCTTTGACCTTTCTATATAGCTGTATGTACTAAGGCGAGCTCAATATTGAGAGGAATACAGCTTCTGCGAACTCCAGGAGACTTTCAAATGTGGCAGAACTCCCTTTTGCAAACTTTTTCTGACCGTGAAAAATTCTCTTCCTCTTGTGAGGACGTGATGATCACAGCCTACACTGAATCACGCGGTGGAGCATGGATAACTTTCATCTATGGAATCAGAATCCAAATATCCCACAGAGTCGGTATCTGCATCTGAATATTCTAGAAAATGGAATCGGCTGCCATATTCGTCAAGGAAGAACGATATATATCAATCTCTAGGCCTAGACTCCATCACAATGTTATTTAGGATTTATGGCGGCACTGCGGCAAGGCGCTAGCAACCCTAGTTACGTTTTCCTCCTCGATTGCTAGAGCTGAGAGTGGATCGGAGCGAAGTATCAGCCATTGGGCAGTAGCTCTTGTGACTGCGATGAGATCTCCGGCCGGATCGTCAACAACGATTGTCGTCCAGGGCTTGCGAGACGGCGGACTCGGACTCACCATCGAGAGCTTGTTGAGAAGAATCGTGGCTTTTTTTATCACTGCTCAAGAGCTTGCTTTTATCCTCTCGAGAGAAGGATGGCCCCCTTCGCCAGCATTTGTTTCGTATCCCTCTGGTAAAGCACTGCCATGCATCCTTCTTTCTTTGTTACCTGATAAATGTGCGTTTGCCTTGTCTTCCATACGATCTCTCATGCTCATTGCAAACAAAGCTGGTTCCTGGTTTACCAGTGCCATTTGTTTCCTGAGCGCATTTCCATGCTCGAGAGATACGCAAAGCTGACGTTGCAAAACTCCACCTCGCCTCACATGTCTTCGTTTCCAGACATTTCTATGTCTAAAACTGCAGTTTTCTTCTTGAGTATCTT